GGACTCCATGATAAAAACACTGATATCTCTAACCCAGGCCACATGCAGCCCCTGAAGGTTAACCTGAAAACTCCAGGTTCCTAGTCAGGGCACTACTCCCTCACTACTCCAGCTACTGCTTCTACTGAAGTCTCCAGGCTCTCTCCTGTAGCTTCTGCTTCCTGTCCTTTTCCTTATGGGCAGGATATGGCTGGGAAGTAGAGCCTGCAGGACTGAGGGAGCCCATGGCAAAGTGGCTTAGGTAGACCCAGAGGCATCAGACATTTTTGTTAAATGTCTTCACCAATGACCTGTAAGATGTCAGAGAGTGCACCCTCAGGAAGCTTGCAGATGACACCCAACCTGGGGGACTAGTAGATACACTGAAGGGTAGGGCTAGGATTCAGAGTGACCTAGACAAATTGGAGGACTGGGCCAAAAGGATTCTCATGAGGTTCAACAAGGACAAGTGCAAAGTCCTGCACTTAGGATGGAACAATCCCATGCACTGGTACAGGCTGGGGACTGACTGGCTAAGCAGCAGCTCTGCAGAAAAGGACCTGGGGGTTACCGTGGACAATAAGTTGAATATGAGCCAGCAGTGTGCTCTTGTTGCAAAGAAAGCTAATGGCATACTGGGCTGCATTGGTAGGAGTGTTGCCAGCAGGTGACGGGAAGTGATTATTTTTGTCTATTCAGCACTGGTGAAGCCACATCTGCAGTACTATGTTCAGTTTTGGCCCCCCCACTACAGAAAGGATGTAAACAAACTGGAGAGAGTTCAGTGGAGGGCAACAAAAATAGTAAGGGGATTGGGGAACATGACTGATGAGGATAGACTGAGGGAACTATTCAACAACGACAAGTGCAAAGTGCTGCACCTAGGCAAAAAGAACCACCAACACACTTACAGGCTGGGGGATGACCCTCTCAGCAGCAGAGGAACAGAAAGGGATCTTGGAGTCATAGTTGACTCCAAGATGAACATGAGTCATCAATATGACAAAGTGATCAACAAGGCTAACTGTATTTTATCGTGCATTAACAGATGCATAACAAACAGGTCGAGGGAGGTGATGCTTCCCCTCTATGCAGCACTGGTGAGGCGCAGTTGGAGTACTGCACCCAGTTTTGGGAGCCACACTTCAAGAGGGATGCGGAGAATCTTGAGAGGGTTCAGAGGAGGGCCACTCATATGGTCAGAGGCCTGCATGCAAGCCCCTATGAGGAGACCCTGAAGGACCTAGATCTCTTCAGCCTTTGTAAGAGAAGCCACCAGATCCCCTCTCAGCCTTCTCTTGTGGAGGCTGAACAGGTTCAGGTCCCGGGCCTACCCTGCTGCCCCCTGATCATGCAAATGGCCCTCCTTTGGACCCTCTCAATGCTGTCCACATCCCTCCTGAAGTGCGGTGTCCAGAACTGGACACAGTACTCCAACTGCAGCCTCGTGATGCATCTGTGGATGCATGACAAGGTGCGGTTAGCCTTAGTGACCGTGTAAGTCAGTACTCACATTGGCGGCCCATGTTCATCTTGGAATCAATAGTGACTCCAAGATCCTTTTCTGCCTCTGTGCTAACGAGAAGGGAGTTCCCCAGCCTGTAGGTACACTGCTGGTTCTTCCTCCCTAGGTGCAGTACCTTGCAATTGTCAGTATTGAAACCCATCCTATTCTCATCCACCCATCCCTGTAACCTGTCCAGATCTAGTTGTAGCATGTCCCTCCCTTCTAGCATGCTCACTTCTCCTCACATCTTAGTGTAATCTGCAAATTTGAACAAGGTGTTTTGCACCCCCTCGTCCAAGTCGCTGATGAAGATGTTGAACAGTACAGGCCTGAGGACCAAGCCCTGGGGAACCACACTGCCCACATCCCTCCATGTCAAAAAAGACCCATCCACCAACACTCCCTGGGTGCAGCCCTCCAACTAATTTGCGACCCATCTGACTGTGTAGGTATCGACACCACAGTCACCTAATTTTTTAATGAGAATGGGGTGAGAGACAGTGTCGAAGTTAGATATTAAGAATAATTTTTATCACGAAAACACTGGAAAAGCTTACCCAGAAATGGTGGAATCTCCAACCTTGGAGGTTTTAAGACCTAGCTAGACAAAGCTTTGGCTAGTTGTGGATGGTGATACTTTGAGCAGGAGGTTGGACTAGATGACCTCCTGGTCCCTTCCATCCCTAACTTTCTATGATTTTATGTTTCTATGATTGGCATGGTACAGAGGGGATGTACATGGCATGGTATACAGGCACTGGCTCAGAAGTAGGACAGCCCAGCTCTAACCTATTGCTCCTGTGTTTAGCATGGACTCACCTAACCATGAGCAGAGTAGGCCTTAGGGAAAATTGCACCCTTGGCAAATTTGTATTTTGGTGTGTGTGTGTTGTCCTTTCCCCAGCACCCCCCAAGTCACCAGTGCCATGTGTGTGGGCTGTGTGCATGGGATGTGGGTGGCAGGGGACCCTGTGGGCTATCATGAATGTCTGCTCACCTGAGATGCTGGCCTGGTGCTGGGCAGTGGGGTTAGGCACGTGGCAGAGGCTCAGTGTGGGGTGGCAGGAAGGGCAGCTGGGCAGGCAGAGCTGCCTGCATAGGAAGCCAGCCCCAGCAGCAGGGGGCTGCCCTCCAGCACCACCCAGACTCTTGCCCTCAGCAGTGGTGATGGTGGCTATGGAGGACTGCAGCTCAGCCCCCAGGCCCACCGGCTCAGTGCTGGTAAATCCCTTGGTGCACAAACTGGGGCTGGCCAGCCACACCATCTTCTCATTGGACATCATTGCCTTGCCCTTGGCCAAGGCCTTGGCACCCTCCCCTCAGCTCCTCATGCTGCCTGGCAGCATCCACTGCTGCCATCACAACCCAGGGGCTTTTTATTCTGCTGCCCTGGCTGGCTGGCTCCAATCAGCTCTGGGCGTGGCAGGCCCTGCTGCCCAGCCCCTAGGATTAGTTGCCACCAAAGTCCCCCAGTGGCTCCCACCCGGCATGAGCAGCAGGGCAGGACAGAGCATGCATGTGTCTAACCATGGTGTCCTGGGCATTTGTCCATGCCTCCCACTCCAAAAGCTAGCTCTGACCAGGAGTTGACAGTCATGCCCCCTCTTGTGCTCTTTCTTTATGTATTAGTGGGCACATCTCCACATTCATTAATGCACCTTAGTTACTGTGCATTTAGTTTTGTACTTCCTTAATGGAGTATTAACTAAATGCGTAACTATAGTTACTGAGCAGTAGTGCCAGCACAGGTTTTTAGTGACAGTGAGTGTGCATTAGCCTAATACCACTGTACAGTAGGTTACTAGCATAGTTTTTGACCACTATGCTACTACGCAGTGGTATTAGGCTAATGCACAGTAAGCATCTCTTGTAGATATGCCCAGAGTCTTGAATTCCTTCCTGCATAGTGGTAGTTTCATGAGGAGGAAGACGGTGGGGTATCCCTCTACTTCTACAGCCAGATGGTTAGAGCAGTCTCCTGGGATGCAGAAAATGGAGGTTTAAACCCATGTAGGCTTACAAGTGAAACAAATCAGCATCTCCCAGTTCTGAAATAAATAGTTTCTTTTCCAGCTATGGTTTAAATGAAGAGTGACCCACTTGGAAAAAGTTTACAGGCACCTATGCTGAGGTTTTAGACTCAGTAGGGCAGGAGGCCCCAGGCACCTCCCTGTTGCCTGTTCTCAGGTAACTGTCTATTTGTAACACTCATACTGTGGGCCCTAAGGCCCACCTGGCTAACTAGTAACCCCATGTGGGGCTGAGTGAGCAGTACAACTAAATTCTTGGGACAACTAATGAAAAAAAACAGGATAGGAGTGTTGTGTGGGTCAAAGGGTCAAAACATGAAAATAAGTGCACCTGAGGGGGACACTGAGCAGAGCCCCCTGGGCTGGACCCACCGGTTCTCAATGGCATCCAAGGAGCCAGTGGACACCGCCCGCTGGTGCTCTGCCTGGAAAGGTGCATGAACAAGTGAGGGGAAAGCGGCCCTGCAGTCTCAGGGCACATTCCTGGCCACAGCCTCCTTCCTGGTCAAGTACAGGGCCCACTTGGCCAGGGCCAGGCAGAGGCTGACCAGGAGGTCCCAGGACTTAATGGGGCCATGGATGGGGTGACCAAAAACAAAAAGATGAGGGGTGAAATTCAGGAAGCGGCTCTGGGGGTGGAAGCAGATGGGCTGCAGCCTGGTGTACTCAAGGGTCACGTGCACCAGGGTCTCCCTCTGCCTGCAGAATGGGCCAGCTGAGGTCCCCAGTGGGTTGTGGGGTGAGGGTGGAGTACAGACTCAGCCACAGGGGATCTTGGGCACCTGAGCTCTGCAGGGAGGGCAGCCAGCCCTCTCCTGAGTGCTTTCCACCTCTAGGGAGCTGCTTGCTGGGGGACGTCCGTTCCCCATTCTGCGCTAACTCCCTGTGCCCTAGTCAGTCTAGAAACTGGGTCCAGGCTTGGCCTTGCCAAGGAGCCTGACTCCCTCAGCAGAGCAGGCTGTGGCCGCCTCAGTGGCCCTTTGTGCCCCACACTGAGGTCAGTGTAAGAACAGCCCAGGCAGCACCCGGGCACTGAGGCTGCCTGTCTTGCCAGGTCTTTGCGACCAGCTCAGGACGCACAGGGCTCAACAAGACTTTATTTTTGCTCAGCTGAGACTCGTTGGGCTGAGACGGGGCGGGGCCGTGGGGCCCCAGCGCGGGAGAACTGGGCGTGGCTACTGCAGACGCCCGCTAGCCCCGCCCCAGAACTCCGCGAAGCGGCCGGCAGGTTGTTTGGTCCTCCTGCTTTGCCGTAGGCAGCCGGCACCTAGGAGGTGCTGCTGCCGCCAACATGGCGGCCAAGGTGAGCCGCTCCCTGGGCGCGCTGCAGGGGGAGGGGCGCGGCGCGGCGCGGCCAGGCGCGCGGACTGTGCCGCTCCCCTCGAGATGCTTCAGCCCCGCGTGGTGTCACTGTCCCAACAACTGCAGCCCGGGCAGCCTGGCGCGGGGGGAGTCGCTGGCGCCGCCTCCCGGCGCGCCGGGCTGGTGCAGCTCTGCGGGCGGGGGGGCGGGTGACGTCCCGCCCCGGCCTGCGGCGCTGGGCCCCTCTGGTGGGCACGCGCGTCTGCTGCCGCCGGGAGCTGCGGCTAGAAGTACGTCCGGCGAGGTGCTCCTGGGGGCTTTCAGGAGAAGCCGCTTTGCCCCGGGGTTCTTGATCGGATCCCCTTGAAAATTCAGAGTGTGAATTCTCCCCCGCCCGCTCCCAGTGACTCCCAACCAGGGGCTGAGAGAGCCTTTCTCGGGTGCGAGCGTGATGGCACCTCCTCCCTCCCCTCCCGGGCCCTGCCCCACGCTCCTCTGGCTTATCTCCGTGGCCAGGCAGGCCTTCCCCTGCCTTGGGTGTCTCCCCCAGGGCTTTCCTGAACGAGCTGACAAACAGACTGCAAGTGCTCCTAGGGCCTCTCAGTTGCCCTCCAGCTAGTGGCATTCAGGGATTTCTTGCACAACTGTTTCAATGCCTTGTTTGGGTTCCCAGATCCTAGATCATTAAGAGGTGTGTGTGTGTGCGCGTGCGCGCACGCTCCATCACAGTCTAGGGAAATGGAAACACTGGGGTGCTCTGCATCAGTGGTTCTCAACTTTTTTTGTGCCAGGACCTTTATAGACTTTGGTCAGTCCTGACCTAGTAAACAGTTTAAGTAGAAAACAGTCCTCTGGCTCTGCTGGTGCCCCTCACTCCTAACCCACAACTCCCCACCCCTCCAGCCCTGCAGGTGCCCCTCACTCCTGATCTGCTGCCCCCAGACCCCTGGTGTGTGGGGCATGGGAGCAGGCATGTGCACCCACAGCGGGCACAGGGCTGCTATCCGGCTGGACCAGCATGGGCAGGAGCTGCCTCCAGGGCCCAGCAGGTGGGACTTGGCACAGGAGGGCAGAGTGGGGCACCAAGACTCATTGCTGCCATTGCCACAGGAACCCCTGTGACAACCGCGCTGCCCTCACCTCCAGTTGCTGATGCATAGGCTGCAGCTCTACCTCACCTCCATGGCCTGGCGGCTTCTACCACTTCCCTCAGGCTATGGCTCTATCCAGGAGAGGATGTGGGGTAACCTGTGCCCCCCTTGCCACCCTGACATGTCATCTGTGACTCCCCTTTCCCCTGCAGGAGCTGCTTTCCAAGCCGCCTGGCTGTCATGTGCACATGGCACCCCGGCCTGATCACACTCCTCCCATTCCCCCAGCCCCAAGCAGTCTCTTGCAGACTGGAACTCTGCTAGTCTGCAAGGGAAAACCCAGTTTCCCATGTTTTTCTCCTTAAAAGGAAAATCCATTTTTAAAATTTGTTAATCAATTTTTAAAAATTTGTTCACAAGCCTTTCATATATTCTTGCGACCCCCTTCTGGGTCGCAACCCACAGGTTGAGAAATGCTGTTCTACATAACTGGTCTGAATTAGCACGCCTCATTTTTTAAGGTAAAATAATAGGATGTTGAATAATTTACTTATTTTATTGGAATTAAGAGGACCAAATAAGCGTAAGTATAGGTATGGAATAACCTTTTTATTCAGTTTTTCCTCTGAGACATTTTCCACAGGGAATAAGGAGCTCTGAAAGATTTCTTTGTCTGGCCATTACTAGGGGTGCACCAACAGAGATTTTCGGAGCCGATACCAATACCTGATTTTTAAGGAGGCATATCGGCCGATACTGATCTGATTTCTGATGCAGCTGTGTGCAGCTGGTAAGTCTGTTGTGGTGGTGGAAGGGGGAGCGGGGAGGGAAGAGGCATGGGGGGTGGGGTAGATCAATGCCCCCTGCAGGGAGAGAAGGAGGGGAGGGGTCAGGAGCAGGCAGTGCCCAGCCAGGGTGAACCAAGGTGTGGGACTGACCCGTGGCTCAATGTGGGGGCGGGGAGCAGCTCCCACCATTGGGTGCATCCCGCGAGGGCATTGCGGGGGGAGGATCTGCGCAGGGCAGGGCAGGGCGGACGGGCTGGAGCCGGGGCTGCGCCAGGCTCTTCTCACTGGGGACTGGGCTCAGGCTGGGGTGGAGGGGGCTACAGAGGGGGCTTTAGCCATCCCAGATTTCACCGTAACCTCCCTATAGCCCTGCTCCCAGTGCCAGCGCAGCCCCAGCTCTTCCCAGCACGTGGTTGGAGGTGGGGTGTTGGGCTCGGGGCTGGGCTCAGAGCAGGTGGCAGGGGCTGTGGGGAGGCTATGGTGAAATTTGGGGTGGCTGCAGCCCCCTCTGTAGCTCTCCTCTCAGTGCCACTGCCCATCTCAAGCCCAGCCCCCACAGAGAAGACTCCGGTATAGCTCCAGCTCTAGCCTGCACCTGCAGCCCGCCCACCCTGCCCTGCGCAGATTGGGGGACATGCCCCGGGCACCCTCGGGTTATGTGCAGTGGTGGGAGCCACCCCCACTTCCTTCTGATGAGCTGCAGCTCCGTCCCATGCCCTGCCCCACCCTGGCCGGGCAGTACCTACCTCAGCTCCTGCCCCCTCCCTCCCTCACTGTGTGGGTCCTTGATCTGCCCCCCCACACCCATTCCCTCCCCCCTCCTCTTTCACCACACCAAACTTACCATCTGCCCACAGCTTTCCAAGCTGCTGGGCTGAGCTCCTTGCTGCTTGCGTGCTGCGCTGTGTCTGCGATCATGCACAGACATTTATTGGCATCAGACTGATTTCCAACACAGCCAGTTTTCTTTATATCTGTACCAATCCGATATCGAACCAATGTGTCGGTGCACCTCTACCCATTACTCTATCAGTGGTCACAGTCAGACTCTAATGTCTGAAGAGCTATATGATAATCTAGTCTGACCGCTAGGCTCACTTTTTCAAAGAAACTTCCAGTCATTGGGTCTTGCTCTGTTTGTCTGTAAGAATGAAAAACTTTTTCATGACTAAGTATCTGAACCAGTGGTTCTCAACCAGGGTGCCTTGGAATCCTTTTAAGGGTGTTGTACATTACTAGGTATGTAAACACTTACACATCATTCACAAGATAAACATAAAGTTGGCAAGCCAGTCAGTTGACCAGTAAATTGACTGCATATTTTTGACCAGTCAAAGATTATAGCAATTTTACAAAAAACTATTTTTTTATAGTTTTCTTGACAAGAAGGATTTTTAAATTGTTTTTGACACATTTCTTAATAAAAAAAAAATGTCCTTTTTCTGTGTACTATTTGAACATATTGGCAATTTTTTTACCAGTATTTGACCAGTCAGTTGACCAAACTTTATTTGACTGATCAATATCGAACCCTAGATAAACCCAGATGTATCAACTAGAGATCCAGATCCAAGTACATTCTGACCTGTTGTGATCTTTCTGAGTTCTTTGAAACATAATAATTGCCTGTTATTTTTCCATAATTAAAAAAAAAAGTGAAAACTAATTGCTGGCATTTTCTGAATAGTGCCTTGAGTCCAATAGGGAGTGCTTTGCATCTAAAAAAAGCTATCAGTTTATAGACAGTAATCAAATCACCTCCCAACCTGTTCAATAAGCTGAATGAATTGAGCTTCATAAGCCTCATAATGTAAGGTTTGTTTTCAAGCTCCTGAATCATTTTGTGGTCCTTCTTTGAACTTTGCCTAATATTTCCATATCCTCTTTGAATTGTCAACACTAGCAGTTGACACTGTATCCTGTTTTGCAGTTTTACTAAAGCTCTGTTCAAAGATGAGACACTTCCCCACTTTTGGTAGATATTTTCATAGTTGGTAGGTTCAGAAGGGACCTGAGCAGATCATCAAGTCCAACCCCCTGCCATGGCAGGAAAGAGTACTGGGATCAAATGACCCTGGCGAGGTGTTCATCCAGCCTCCTCTTAAAGACCCCCAGGGTAGGAGCCAACACTACTTCTCTTGGAAGTTGGTTCCAGATCCTAGCTGCCCTGACAGTGAAGTAGCGCCTCCTGATATCTAGCCTAAATCTACCCTCTGCCAGGTTGTGACCGTTATTTTTTGTCACTCCTGGTAGTGCTCGGGGGAACAGGGACTCCACCAATGCCCGCTGGTCCCCCCGACCAGTTTGCAAACGGCCACTAGATCCCCCCTCAGCCTTCTCTTGTGGAGGCTGAACAGGTTCAAGTCCCTTAACCTCTCCTCATAGGGCCTGCCCAGCTGACTCCTGATCATGCACGTGACCCTCCTCTGGACCCTCTCCATGTTGTCCACGTCCCTCCTGAAGTGCAGCGCCCAGAACTGGACGCAGTACTCCAACTGTGGCCTGACCAGTGTTGCATAGAGGGGGAGGATCACCTCCTTGGACCTGCCTGAGATGCATCTGTGGATGCATGACAAGGTACGGTTGCCCTTCCTGACCGCATCCCCACACTGTCGGCCCACGTTAATTTTGGCATCAATAATGACTACAAGATCCTTTTCTGCCTCTGCACTGATGAGAAGGGAGTTCCCCAGCCTATAGTTATGCTGCTGGTTCTTCCTCCCCAGGTGCAGCACCCTGCACTTGTTAGTGTTGAAACCCATCCTGTTCTCTTCCGCCCACCCCTGTAACCTGTCTAGGTCCAGTTGCAGCCTATTCCTCCCTTCTAGCGTGCCCACTTCTCCCCACATCTTAGTGTCATCTGCGAATTTGAACAAGGTGCTTTTTACCCCCTCATCCAAGTTGCTGATGAAGATGTTGAACAGTGCGGACCCGAGGACCAAGCCCTGGGGGACCCCACTGCCCACATCCCTCCAGGCCGAAAATGACCCGTCCACCACCACTTTCTGGGTGTGGCCCTCTAGCCAGTTAGTGACCCATTTGACTGTGTAGGTGTCGACACCACAGTCCCCTAGTTTTAATGAGAATGTGGTGAGAGACACTGTCGAAGGCCTTCCTAAAGTCCAGAAAAACTACATCCACTGCTACCCCTGCGTCTAAGGATTTTGTGACCTGGTCATAGAAGGCCACCAGGTTGGTCTGAAAGAACCTGCCTCTAATGAACCCATGTTGGTTGCCCCTAAGCATAATCTCCCCTGCTGGCCCCTCACGGACAGCATCTGTATCTCTCAAAAAGCTTACTCAGGACCGAGGTAAGACTGACTGGCCTATAGTTTCCTGGGTCCTCCTTCCTCCCTTTTTTGAAAATGGGAACCACATTGGCCCTTTTCCAGTCTTCTGGCACCACGCCAG